GCCTTTTTTTATATATATAGCTCAGTACTTATATAAATATAGACTAGTAAGATAGCACTTGCATCCTACCTAAAAATATTTAGTGCCATGGATATAACTATATTCCTATGCAGGTACAGGACGCAATTAGTTTAATATATCCTAATCTTATACCACTAGCATGCAGATCTATAGTTAAAAATATTATAAAAAAACTACTAAATAACTAATTATTAGTAGTACCTAAACATTTTATTAGCAGTAGCTAGCTTAACATAGTAGGTAATTATATTTATACCATAGATATAACTCCTTAGCTAATTTAAAAGTGTTAATAACACAGTCCCTGTGCTATATAACCTTTAGGCGTGTACCCTTTAATATAAAATTAAAATTTTATTTAAAAATTAACTATTATTTTTTAAAAGGCCCTTTGCAGGCTGTAGGCATATAACACAAATATATAATATAGGGCATGGAACTAATAACTAACAAGTTAGGCATGGAGGTGGAAGAGATAGTGCTAATATAGGATCCAGGCAAGCATGCAGACAGGTATAGTTCTACTAACAGTGTACATGGGACAAGGTGGTTATTAGTAACAAAACACAACAAAAAGGTTAGATACAGGGGCGAGATCAGGAACAAGGTTAAATTAGATATTTTCAATCACATAACATAACCACGTGCCTGTATTTAACTACCCCGACGGTTGGCCCAGCCGTCGGAACGGACCTTTTCCGGCACTCGGCGTAGAGCTGACAGACCCGAGTATGAATACTACTACTACTACTACCAGGTAAAGGAATAAAAAAGTTAAGTAGTTAAAGGGACACTAGAAATATTAATTTTAAAAAACTATTTGCAGTGGTCATACTGTCTTACCAGGAAAAATTAGATTAGTATAATTATAATAGCAACAGTCTAATTTTATAACTAATCACTATTTATAAAAAAGCTACGTAAATCCCGAATAAAAAGGTATTTATTTGCTAGAATACAAAGTAAAATTTTATTACTAGCTAAATATAATAAAATTACAAACTTTTTAACTTATCTAGTTTTAATCTAACCTTCATATAAAACTTTACTATAGTATCCTAAAATGTATTAGGAGAAGGCTCTCTAGAATTTAAAGCTTGGATGCAGTTATTAACAATATAAAGGTAGTAATAAAGCTCTGTATAAATAGTTTTTAAAGTCTTAATATTATCCCAAGTATTTTTAGGAACTAATTAGGGCACGAACTTACCATCAATAAAACTTTTTTTTAAAGTAAAAAGGTGTTAATAATTAACTAGTAGTACTTAGATTAAAAAAAATAACCCTTCCTAGAGCTAAACAAAGTAAGGGAAGGACTAGTTAATATACTAGTAGTAAAAGATTTCTAGAGCTAATTAGAACACCTAACCCCAGGAGTCCTAGACAAGTTCGAGTTTTAACAGCTTTAATATTAAAATCTATATTATAAGGGCGCTTCAAAGGAGTTATAAAAGCCAAGGCTTTTAAAAAAAGGCTAAAAGGAACAAATTGGATAAATATATAAATATAAACAAGGAGAAATTACAAAAAATATTATAATAACTAAGAAACTAGAGATAACCACTTTTTTAAGTATCGACCTAGCAAGATTAAAATAAGTAAAAAAAAAAATTATAAAAAACTTACTAGTCTATACTAGCATTCCAAGTATTGCAGGGGTCTTTAGTGTAAAAAATATACTAAAAACTATATTTTAAATATAGTTTAAGTGGGTACCTAAATAAGAAGTAGCTTTTTTAAGCACTAGAAAAGCAACGCACGACTAAAATATTCTGCTAGTAGTATATAATAAATAAGCTTTTAAAAGCAAATTATACTTGTGTAAAATTAAGGCGCTTTGCTATTATATAGTTTTAATTACTTCTAGTACTAGCTTACCCTTTTTATCAGATGCCTAGTTAACCTTATAACTTTATTAACTAACTAGAGAGTACTTATATTAGTCGCAGTTAAAGAAAAAACAGACTAATAAAATTAGCTATAAAGCACAAAGAAAAAGACATACTTACAGTTACTATTAGTATAGGTATTAATTACCGCTTAACAGTTTAGAATAGTAATCCCCATGCTACTTTAAGTAAGATATATTAAAAAAAAGCGGGATTTTCTATATACCTAATAGGAGGAGGCTGACTAGAGTCCCGACACAAAAGTTTAAAAAGAAGAATTAATTAAACTAGCTTTTAAGTTAACAGTCTTAAAGACAACAAGGCAGGAAGAATAATAAGTATAGTAGCTACTAGCAAACCATAAAAGGTCCTATTTATATTTAAAAAATAATAAATAGTTAATTTAGTAATAATAATTAACCTTGCTTCCTACTAGCGCGAAATGATAACCCCTTAATATATTTATTACGATCTAACTAGCACAAGAATTCTGTTACAAATAAATCTATAATAACTTAACTGCTTTGTTAATCCAGACTAATTAGACTATGCTAAGTAATCTTATAAGTAACAGACTTAGTATAGTACTAGAATATATAACAAAAGATTAACCCTATTAATTAATATTAGCAATATATAGTACCTAATAAATATAGCACTAACATATAGGCACTCCGAAAATATAATCTATAATATAGGATCCCACAGCAGTACACTGGAAGACCTTGGTAAACACTAGGTTAAATAGCGGTCTGCTACTTAAGGTAGCAGACCAGAGAGGTACTTTAAGCAGATAGCTTAGGCAATACATTCCTTTAGAAGACTTAATAGAATTCCCTTAGTCCTCCCCAGGGCTGCCATCAGGGCGGCCCCTGGGGCCCCCTTCCTATATTCGACTGTCCCTACGGCTTAGTGTTGTACTACCTTGTCCAGTCCCCTACCTAACCAGCTGTGTGATGAGCGATATTGCACTATAAAGTATAATAAAAGAATAATTGTATATAGGGATAAGTTATACTAAACAAGTATAAGATATAGTAGGCATATAATATAATATAATAACAAAGAATAACTTATACTTTCCTATTTAGGAAGGTATATTCTCGAGGAATATTAAAGAATAATTGTTTATCCATATTCCAAGCAGGGGTTTGAGCTGCTTTTATACCTTTAACATCCTGGTATTTTCCTTCCAAATTAATCTCGATATTAGGATCAGTGTTATATAGTTTCGGAAGTTCGGAACAGGCCGCCGAGATTTCTGTTTCCTAATTAAGTAATTACTTAATTGGGAATTAGGATATCTAAATAGGCGAATGATATACCGACACCCCCCCCCGTTCCACCGACACCCCTTTGGATCCAGCGACACCCCCTATTTCCCAATATAGTAATTTGGTCTCGTAGGGCAGAGGGTTAGGGCCAGAATATAGGGCAAATTATATATCAACACCACCATATTTACATGCTCTAATATTCTCTACATGCAAGCTTTTCAAAATGTCAACTAATCCTGATGTTTCTAATAAGATATCTGACTCTGAAGCTGAATTATTTGATCTCCCGCTGCCAGAAGGCCTTCAAGAGTTAACATTTCGCTCCCCGGAGGAAGCTATTAAGCACATAAATAACTTTGCTTACAACAATGGATATACAGTTGTAAAACGGTGTTCAAAACCAACAAAAGCAGGTGTTATTAAGATAATATGGCTTAAATATAACAAAGGTGGAAAGTACAATAGCCGTCTTAATAAAACCAAGCGCCGCAGGAAAGGGAGTACCAGCTTAACCATGTGCCCATTTTCTATTATTCTTAGGCTCAAGCTATTTTATATGGCGGCTGGAGATTAAAGAAAAGCAGATAATTATCAGCTTCTGCAGCTTTAACTCATGCAGTCCACGTTGTAGATATAGTATCCCACGCATCGAAAATAAGAGTTAACTTTAAACTGGAGCTTAACCACGTCATATTATTGCATCACTTCATAAAGAAGGTGCTGGAAGTGTTAAGGATCGGGATATCTATAATTTTAAAAGAGAAACAAGAAGGCGCTTTTTAAACGCAGGACTCCTATACAGGCTCTTTTATCAACTTTCCAGAGACAGACGAGTGGATTATAACTATCAAAAGATAAGATAATCAGTGGTGACAGTTTTTTTAACCTATAAATCCTGCCTGGAAATATTAAGTCTATACAGCACAGTTCTTTTTATGGATTCAAATATAAAAAAATCGATACCAGATCCTCTTCTTATATTTTGGTAGTACAGCCACCAATCGTAATTTTATTGGGCTTTGCATTTATATCTAATAAGAAGGAGGAGTTATATACATTTGCTCTTAACAGCTGGAGCTGTAATAATCGCTTTATATTGCCTTTCCAAAAACCATTGTTACAGATAAGATAAGGATTAATAAGGCAGTTAACTTGTTTTCCTTTTGCAGAAATATCTTATGCCTATGGCACATTGAAAAGAATATCTTGACTCGATGCAGACCAATTATTCGACATAAGTGACTTGTCTTAATATAATAATCCAAGCCAAGCAGTTGGAGATATCTTTAACCAGAAAGTTAGGATAAATGGAAAGCTTTTCTTGGATTATTTATAAATAGTCAATGAAAAACCATAACAGAAATAATGCAGCATGGGCTAATTTTACCAGCGAGTACGCCGAACATCTGGACTGATATTATTCGCTATATTCAAGAAATAGATGATAACCTGACTTTAGAGCGCTTTTTAAATGCCATACCAATAAGTCTCTTTATCTTGGTCAGATTGCCACTTCCCGTGTGGAGGGGAGTCATTGGATTATTAAACGAGAGCTTTAATCATCTACCAAGGACCTTCTTAGCGCTGCTGATATATAGGTCTTGTCCTTCAAGATCAACATCGAAAAGTATGGGATAAGATTAATAGGATAGATCGGCACCTATTTATCTCCAGACTTTATTTATCAAAAGTGCTTAATAAAGTATCTAGATATGCACTTAATATTGTGTATAAAACACAAATACAATATCTACCGGAAGGACAACCAGGAAAGCGGCCAATTTAGGAATGCAGTGGTGTAACCCATACTACAATGGGGCTTCCATGTATCCACAGAATCCGGGAGCGTCTTCAAAACCGCGAGTCTCTATATCTTGGAGATTTTAATCGTCATTGTCGTCTTTATAATGACCAGGACATGCCTCCGATTAACCCAAGAGACTTGGTTTTAGAACCAGAGGTTGTACGCCGAAAGGGCCGGCCGGGAGGATCATTAAATCGATCCAGTCAGGTAGAACCAGAACTGGAGCCAGCAAGTCAGGATCGCTCCACTCAGCGTGATCCTTCAGCCTTTGTATTGTCTTATCCCAGGAATCATCGCGCGGGCAAGGGAGAGGGAGAGGTAGAGATAGTGGGCGTGGGCGTGGGCGTGGGCGTGGGCGTGGTTGCGGTCGTGGTCGTGGTGGTCAGGTCCCGGGTGTCCCACCAGGGATGACAGGAAGGATACAATTCTGATGCTATACTAAATAAGGAAACAGATATTGATTAGTTTTTATTGCATTTTTAAGCGATTCAGGCAAGGCCACACCGGTCATATACTAACATGGTCCCTCCACCCAAACTCCCCGTCGGGGTGTTCACGTGATTATGCGCTATACTATATTGGGAAATAGGGGGTGTCGCTGGATCCAAAGGGGTGTCGGTGAAACGGGGGGGGGGGTGTCGGTATATCATTCGCCTCTAAATATTCTGACAATAGTGTATTTTTAATATATAATAAAAATTTCGTCCAATAAGCTTCTTAATACAGCCTTTCCCAAAGGGGAATAAAGGTTTTTCCCCAATAGGATATAAAACATCACTTATAAAAGAAACCCTTTTGGGCTTATTTACCGATATTTAAAGCTAGCATGGCTTAATTAACAGCTGCCTTTTAGTGCTGGGTTCTTAAAACTTTTAAAATTATTAGATTGGTTTTTAAAAATTTTGCTTTACATTATTATAATCGACTTTTTTATATGGCCTAGCCAGCTGTTTATTATAGTGTCACCTTAAACTAGACACCAGAGCAACACATGGTCCGATCTATGCCATTTATTTATAGACAGTAAGAAGTGGTAAAAACGACTATATAACTACTCTCAGACTTGGCGAGAATTAATAAAGTTCGGGTGAACAATTCAAATTCCGGATAAGCTATTTGAATAATCTCTTGCCATTATTAAATATAGCGAGGACAATTGCCATAGTTAATAAGTAGCTGCCGTCCTAGTATAATACTTCTTGACATTACAGCTATTTACAATTTATATTAATATGTAAAATTTATTTTTCAACTTTAAACTAAGCTTGAATATATTCAGTCTTTGTTATTTGCTAGGTAGTTATAAGATCCAAACAGAATACAAGGTTCCATGGAAAAAAACCAAGAATTAACTGAGTTCTAGGGGGCTGAATTTTAGTGTGGTAAAGTTTATAAACAGGTAGTATTCTGCCAATTATCGAATAATTTATACAAATTATTTATATTTAAATAAGGATTATGTGGCACGCTCATACGGGTCGGAACTTTATAAGTGGTTTTTAGCGGTCTTCCTACTTTGTTTATCCATGCTTTAAATATTTAACCTTATCCGCTTTTAATCTTTATCTACACACTAATCAATAAAATTAACAATGTTCTTTTTCTAAGCTTGCGTGTTTTACAGTTAGTGGTATGTTCTTTTATATTTTATTTATTCTTTGGATGTTTATTTACTAAGCTATTTAAATAGTTTAATATATTATATTTATTTAACTGCTTTTTATTATGCTCTGTCTTATTTTTATACTTGTTTTAATATTATCTTTATATTTTATTATTTATAGTTGTTTCCGTATTATTTCTATTGTTATTTTAACAATCCTATTTAATCTAACTAAAATCCTACAGTATCCTTATGCCATCGCGGCGAGAGCTGTAGACTATAAAGCTTGGCTATTAAATTACTTAATTTATTAACCTTAATGCCTCTTGCTTTGCTTAGAAGCTAAATTCTAGTATTATCTACTAATTTTACTATATTATTTTAACTATTAAATTACTGCTATTAACACACATCTACATATTTAACTAGGATATTAATTATTCTACTATTTATTAAGCAGTTGCAGAGTTTATACGCCTGACTAACTATTTACTAAGTTAGCAGAAGTATACTAACTAGCTAGTGTGCTAACCTGTAGTTAACCGGATACCTTTACATCCTCTGGGACAATAATCCTTTATCTTAATAATCTTTAAACCTTAAATACCACCTGTCTCCCAAATGGTTAAATAATCTACTATTTACTAAATAAAAACCAGAAACATTTCTCTAGCTGCCTTAGCTACCTTTAGAAGGCTTTTCCCTTTTGTCGAACCAAGAAACAAGGTTATTCCTGTTCCTAATTTTATAATAGTTAGGTTAATAAAGTAAACAAAGATACAAGCTAGAAGTATTTTTTTTAAATAATTTTTATAATTTAACACCTGTGTTGACTTACTAGAAAATAGTTAGAATATCTTTTTTATTAAACCTTAGTTATTAACCTGTTTTACACCCCACCTCCGGCTGGTCAAGTATTAGCTACTATATAAGCAACTTAGCTATTTGTTTAATAAATAAACAGTTAGTTAGTAATTAAGACTTATAGGAAATAACAACTGCCTCCTAGACCTCCTGGACCTGGACCTCCCCGGTGTTCCTGGAAATCCTGGCGATCCTGGCCCTCTGGTCCAGCCGGACCGCCTGGTTAAGGTGAAAATAGATTGAATAACAGCAGCCCCTAGAAGACAGAGGAAATAGGCTACTTCTGGCCGGAACTTAAGAAAGATATAGCTATTAAACAGGTTAATAACTATATTTATTACAAGGATGTTAATATGTTTATTAACTATATTAAAAATATTATTACCTTTAAAGGGGAAGAAATAGTTTAAGCTAACCTACAAGCTTGCCTCCATGGAGCAGCCCTTGCTTGGTTTACTTTTAAATTAAGTAAATTAAAAAGGATGCTTTGCGTACTCTACCTTTATTAATTAAAGCAGGAATAGTAGTGGTAACAGGCACGGATAGTTATATTATTTAGCTAAATAATTTAAACCTAATTTAAAACTTTTATAAAAGTACAGGCCCTTTAATATATTTATACTAATATTTCCGCTGGAAAAACTTTTACAAGTATTTGCTAAAGAAGTTATATACCTAGCCTAAGCTGCTAAGATTTATCAGCCCTTTTAGCAGATTGCTATAGTATAAAATATATTTAATCCTGTTTTTTAATAGTATATTTCCTAACCCTAATTAAAAATAACTAAAACCAAGTTCCTACAAGAACTAAAGTAGTAGTAATTTCCTTGGTAAAATCTTATTTCCTGCAAAAAAAAAACCCAAGGCCTAATTATATAGTAAAATTAATCCTAATTAGGCCTATTATAACCAGAGACCCTTTTAAAAAAAAAATAGTTACTAAGGACTAGATATTAATACTTTAGATTATTTATACTACAAGCTTGGTTTTTTTGCTAGTCAGCAAAAGGCTATATACCCTCTCTACCCTTAAGCCTACCAGAGATTCCTATCTGCTTGGCTACTATATAATTATAATAGATATAATCGGAATATGTATTAATATCCTAACTAGTTTAGTTAAGCCCTTAGGTAATAACCCTATAACCAGCAGAACTAACTGCCTGTTTTAGGTCAGCAAAACCGCAGCTGCAAATAGCCAATAAGCCAGCGAATCCTGCTAATTATAACTAGTTATAGAATATTAATTATAGTTTATATAATTGCCCAAGCCCATATATTAACTAGCTTTGTTAACTATGGAATTAATAGTAAAACCTTTATATAAATATACGTATAGCGCTAAGGCATCTAGGGATTTAAAAGGGGAGATTCCTATAAACAAAATAATAAGCAAGCAAATATTACTAATACTAGGTAACCCCCAAGTAACTAATTACCTAACTAATTGCCTGACCAATTGCTTAAGTACCTGGGTAGATAGCTAATAATCCTTTTAATAATAGTTATTTATAATAGCGCCTTTTACACGGATAATTATTAGTATAATAAATTTTATAATAAGTTATTTAATACCTATAATATATATATAATATTTGCTAAAGTATTATTAAAAAAAAAACTAAGTAATTTAAATACCTACTATTTTTAAGAGTAATAATATAGTAATATTATATAATTTTTATAGTTTTATTTTTTTATTAAATAATAAACTACACACCTTTGCGAGATTAATTATTAAAAAATATTAACCCTAACTATTTAATACCTACAGCTAAAGCCTATTTAGTTAAATTTATTAAATTAAATAGAAATCAGGTATTTTTACTAAAGGATTGTTTTAATATTCGGTATTAATATTATATTACTATAAAAGCTGGCCTAAATACCACTAAAAAATCTTAAGAAAATTTGCCTTAATTCGGGATGCTTCTTTACTATTATTAATAAATAAAGCCTTTATAAAAACTATTAAAAATGTAGTTATTAAAAATACAGGATTTGTAATTATTATTACTAGTATTAGCACTATAAAGTATTAAGGTCTAGAATAACACTAATAAACCAGTTGTTATTCCTTGGTGTTTTTAAATAGGAACTGTTTTAGATATAAATAACTTTTTCACGGTGTATTAAGCTATAGGTAATCTCCCTAAGGACCTGTTTACTTTTATAAACCCACTAATTAATAAGGATGCTAGCTGTTTTATTAAGTTATTAAAAAATCATATTTTATAACAAGCTAAACCAAGCTTTGCTTATTATTATATTAGTATTTAAAAAATTATTTATATATATATTACAGGCCTCTGCATTTTTTATTATTCTAGTTAAAAAGAAGCCTGATAAAACTATTATCTTATCTTATTAAAGTTACTATTTAAATATTTTAAGCCTAAAGTATATTATTAAAAAGTATAATATATAGGCCCAGCCTGATAGATTTAATATAAAAAAATAATAGATAAAAGTACTATTACAAGAAGATTAGTAAAAGTATATACTAAAAGCTAAGATATTATATAAAACCGCGAGTTAAAGAAATTATTAATAAAATCTTTAACCTACTAAAATTTTATGGCAAGCTAATTAAAGTAATTAATTATACTTTTTTAGGATATCCTATTTTTATTATTTACCGACTGGTCTGGGATAAAAAGCGAAATACCTTTAAAACTAAGGGTCAAGTAGTTGTTAATCTTTATAGGGTAAATAAAGAAATAAAACTAGATCTGTATTTATTACCTAGCTAAAAAAAAATTCTTGTATTAGTACATGGTTATTCCTTTATTTTTATTATAAACACAGTAAAATTTTTTACTAATAGCCTGTAAAGTAAAAAAGCATGCAAACTATTTAGCTGTTGTTTTATATAAAAAATAAAAAATTTTTTAAATTATAATAATAGGGTTTATTAATTTAGTGCCCTATGTCCAGTGGTAAA